GCATCTCGTCTTTATATTGATTTCTCAACGGAAAGATTTTCCTAAAAATCCCTTGACTGGGTTAAAACTGAACCTCATAAATATTTAAACACACGGGATGCATATATATATATATATATATATATATATATATATATATATATATATATATATATACTAATAATAATCTTATAAGTATAAGAAATTATACTCGTCCGGAAAACCTTCGGTGTCTTAATTTGCAAATAACCAAACCAATACCTAAAAAAAAGGTATAAAAAAAGATAGAACCAAGAACATGTACGTTAGCCGAAAATAATCGTCTAGCATCCAAGTCCAAAGTCCAAAGAAAAAAAACGATATGAGTAAGCAAAATAACTAAATAAAGTGCTCAATACGACAAGTAGAGCAGACCTAAATAAACCTAAAGAGCCAGACAAACCTGTCTGGCTTTTTTATGTTTAATTATATATATATATATATATATATATATATATATATATATATATATATATATATATATGGGGTTGTTTTAATACATATTTCCTTGAAGGCGTTTTATCAAGTTTTTTTCATGCAGTTGTTTTTATGAGCTCTCCTCTTTGGTACCTTAACAGCATGAATTTATGCGTGCTACTAGATTGGCAATTAGGTCCCATCTTTTTACTCTTGAAATAGCTAGATGTAACCGGAACTTCTATTCTAATAGTTTCTCTTCTGACACTTCGCATCTTTGGAATTCTCTCCCGTTTTCTTGCTTTCCTGCCACCTACAATCTTTTAAAATTTAAATGGAATGTCAATCGCTATCTTCTGTCTTCCTGAATCCTGTTCTTTTATTGTTTTTTCTCTTCACTAAAGTCTTCTTATATTCTTTCTTATTTTATTATTCTTATTCTCTTTCTTATTTTATTCTCTACCAGTAAGTCCTTGCGTCTTATTGTGTAGTGATAGGGAAATAAATTAATAAACATAAACAACAAGAAGACCAAAATTTCACCATTGCTAAAAATAGACGGGTAATAAAAATCGCCCAAAAACAGCTACAGTTCGACCAACCAATCAGAAAGCTTTCATAACCAGAATATAAAAAAAAATAACAAATAATAACAACGAACCCAAAATTTCCCCATTTCTAAAAACAGCTAATTCTACCAACCACTCAAAAACCTTTAACAACCAGGATATAAGGCCAACGAGAAGTGCGCAGCATTTTCAAAGATGTGCATATAAACAGAAGGAAAATCAACCAAAACCAAAGTCGATAAATTAATCATCAAATCTCTGTGTTTGTGAACATACTACTTGTTGATTTCTCTGACTTCAGGCGTAGAAGAACCTAGACGAGGCTATGCCGAAGGGCAGAGTATCGTCTGGGGAGGTAAATAAACCTGACCCCGTTATAACGGGATCTATGGGGAATGTTTGCCCGAGCCTACGGGCTCTGAACGCTACATGTAAAAAAAAGGGTGGACTTGTGCCACATCTCTTCGTGGTGGGGAGGACTTAGGTAATAAATAGCATAATTTAAAAAAACATCTTTCGGTTTACACTACACATATTTCGTCTTAGCGTTTGCCTATGTATGGAAAAATTGCGCCCAGAAGATGACAATTTGAAATTGTCGAAAATACTTGGCCCATCAATTCCATCTGACAGCAACTCAGATATAAGGATCATTTTATTCAAGGAATTTATAGTAAGTTAATATCTCATTAAGTCATGTTAGCGAAGTGATTTCGCCGTTAATCACATTAATATTGCTAATTAATTATTTGCATAAATTGCATCTTTATGATATAATATATACCATAAATATATACATATATATATATGTGTGTGTGTGTGTGTGTTTAGAAAAATATGACAAACTGGAAAGCATTTCTGTGACGCGTTACATCCGTTAGGATTTCATCGGACTGGGCTTTGATGACGTTACCACGTCTACACATGCGAATCGAGAGACGCAGGTAGTTTCAAAATTTCTCGTTTTCGTGCGCATGTGTAGACGTGGCAAATCCCAGTCCGATGAAATCTTAACGGATGAAAAACATCACAAAGACACCTTTCCAATCAACTGAAGAAGGCCGGAGCGTATGACGGTTAAAACGTTGTGAATCTGGCAATGAAGATGAGGATGACAGTCTGAATAATGTAAATACTGTAAGATATTTCTCGTGCCTAACATTTCATTTTCGTTCAGTTTATCAACATCATCATCATCATCATTTACCAATCCCCTCTCAGCCTGTGACATAATCAATACATTAAAAAAGCAAACAGACAAAAAATATAACGGTAATATCAGAAATAGCGCTGTACCAGACAAAAGCATTACTTATCTTTCAAGGTGTTCTTTTACTGAAATAAGCATTCACTACTGATTCAATCAATTTCTTACAATGTTTTTTCTTTTAATCACCGAAATATACAGCAATTTTTTTTTTTATTCTTGAATGGTAGGTGGCAGGAAATTCTTGCAGCAGTTTGGAATTACAGCAATATTGATGAAATGGTAATGGTATAGATTATTTCCAGACATACCATCTGATCACATTTATTCAAGTAATAATAAATATGCGACTGTTTTTAACTGTCTACCAACTCCTTTGCTCCAACCATTATCTATTTTTACGCTCACGCGCCTGTGTACGCACATACACTTACACGTGTTCCTGTGCGCGTGCGTGTCTGTGCACAACACTTTATTCAAAAAATTGCACAAAAATAGTTTAAATGTAGAGCAGCTTTGTCGTTTGCAGTTAATAAAACTTGTTTAAATGGATTAAACCATTGTTGCACACCTTCCCCCCCTCTCTCTTTATGCACGTCTCTTTCTTTCTGTTTCCCTTTCGGACGCCCAGCACAGTCTGGGTTCCTTCAGTCTGTAACAAATTCGCCGAAGATAAAAAGAAGCAAGATTTCAAAAGGCCATTTGCAGTTGAGGAGCGAATTTGTCCCCCACAGTTAGTTAGGTCATGAAACATGATTTAAGCCCTCACTACAAATCTTACTTATTATAAAACGCAGATTGTGTGTGTGTGTGTGTGTGTGTGTGTGTGTGTCTGTAACGTTTATATATTGGATCGGATTTCTTACATTTTTCAACCGATTTCAACATAACTTCACAGGACTACATAAAATTACCTTGTGGTGGTTCTAACAACGTCAAAAATGGGGAAAATATAATTGTTTTTGCACAAAATCAATTTGAAAACACAATTAAGAGACACCGTGAAAATGGAAGGGGGACAACTCACATCGGATTTTCTATATTTTTCAGCCGATAAAACAAAACTTTTTCTTTTTTTTTTTTTTTTTGGCAGGTAGTGTTTCTTATTCTCTTGCACACTTTTTTCTTTATTTTTAACATTCAGAATGCTTTAAAAATTCCATTTCCAAGACAATTATTTATAATAAAATTCTATTCAATCAGTAGACTCATAACGATTGAAAAAAATGTTTTTGTTTGAGTTTGGGTTTGACCAAAAAAAAAAAATACTAATTAAGACATGCGTGTCCGTCAACCTTAAACAATAATCTTTGTCAATTTTATTTTTCAGTCTTTATGATGGTCGATACTTGATCTATCTCTTACTGTTAAATCCCCGGGCAACGCCGGGTTCTACTGCTAGTAACTTATAATGACTCCTTTTCATTCCCCCCTCTCTCTCTGTCGACGGAATTTTTGTCCCTCTCTCCATATCTTTCTGTTTTACTCTCAGATGCTCAACACAGTCAACACAGATTTTTCATTAGAAGAACATTATCTATTTTTATTATATTACAAAATGATTATAACTAAGATAACCCCCTCCAATCCCTGTTTGCGTCCCTCTCTCTTTTCTCCTTTCTACATCCCTCTCTTTCTTTCTGTTTTACTCTCTGTGTCCCTCCCTATGTCTGTTTCCTTCTCGGACGCTCAACACGGTCTGGGTTTAATAGGATTTTTGATTAGAAGAACATTATCAATTTTTATTATGTTACAAAATGATTATAACTAAGATCCCCCCTTCAATCCCTGTTTGAGTCCCTCTCTCTTTTCTCCTTTCTACATCCCTCTCTTTCTTTCTATTTTACTCTCTGTGTCCCTCCCTATTTCTGTTTCCTTCTCGAACGCTCAACACGGTCTGGGTTTAATAGGATTTTTGATTAGAAGAACATTATCTATTTTTATTATATTACAAAATGATTATCATTATTAAAGAAAGATTTTAATTTCAAGAAGTCAGTGGCCTATAACTAAGATAAGCCCCACCAATCCCTGTCTGTGTCACACTCCCTTTTTTTTTCCTTTCCACATCCCTCTCTTTTTTTCTGTTTTACTCTCTGTGTCCCTCCCTTTTTCCGTTTCTTTCTCGGACGGTCAACACGGTCTGGGTTTAATAGGATTTTTGATTAGAAGAACATTTTTATTTTTATTATATTACAAAATGATTACCATTATTAAAGAAAGATTTTAATTTCAAGTCAGTGACATATAACTAAGATAACCCCCCCTCCAATCCCTGTCTGTGTCCCTCTCTCTTTTCTCCTTTCTACATACCTCTCTTTCTTTCTGTTTTACTCTCTGTGTTCCTCCCTATTTCTGTTTCCTTCTCGGACGCTCAACACGGCCTGGGTTTAATAGGATTTTTGATTAGAAGAACATTTTTTATTTTTATTATATTACAAACTGACTATAATTAAAGAAAGATTTTGATTTCAAACGTCCATTTACAGTTAGGTGCAAATCGTTACGTCACGGAACACGATTTAACCCCTCACTACAAACAACAATTTCGACAGTGATGAACAAGCGGTATCTTCCGCCCATTGTTGTTGCTACTGATGAAAGACTTAGCCAACACTCACCTGTGCTCACATCCACTATTTGATCTTCATATACATTCAACAATATGAATGGTCGCAATTTGTTTCTGCATGGAGGAATTTAATGACACCACTGCTTTTATATACATTTTCATGTCAGATACCATTTTACCAGACAGCTGTGTGTAACAAAAAGAAGCTATGGATTAT